CCCGGAGTCCCGCCGCCGCGGGCCTGGGGCAGCAATTGGACTGGCCCTAAGGACCGACACTGGGTACCCCTGTTTCCCTCCGAGGTCCCGGGTGGGGGCGGTACCCAGCGAAGCCACAGACAGGGCTCCCATTAGCAAACCCAAGAGACAAAGGAGGAGGCTCTTCTGGGGAGAGCACGACAGGAAAGGCTCACGACATCCCTTCCAGCACAGTCGAAAAATAATAGCTTAATATTAACTGCTTCTCATAAAAATATACTTTCACAGATACAGTTACAAGAAGAAAACCCTCATTTTATCCTCGTACTTTGTGCTCATCGCTGTTAGCTGCCTCAGTAATTTAATTGGAATAGAACGTGAGAAATGTGTCATTTTTGAAGAATTTATGCATCACTTCCTAGAAATCTCATTGTGTTAACTAGGAGCCTACTGCGTTCTGTTTAGAACCATAATCACATTTTTATGTGTCTGTATTATGCGTTAATGTGACCTCCTATCTTTAGCAGATAAAAAAAAAATCTCCTTCCATAACAAACTACCACTTACATCAAATACACGAAAACCTGTCTTCCCTATGTTCTTCAAACTTACCTACTTCCTCCAGATCATGGATAGGAAATGTGAATGGAAAAAAGTGCCTACCAAATGAATAATTACACACCAAATTAAAATCCTGCACTAAACATAGTCGACAGCAAATACTGCATTCTCAATCATGTTTATTGCTTACAAATTGCATTACAAAGAAATCTACTCTTTTTATTGGAGTGATTAAGCAGAGTGTTAGGATTGCAGAAATGCTGCTCCTGAAGATGAGACGAAGGCTGCACACCCAGCCAGTCACATTGCAACAGTAAATGTATGATTTTGTTAAAGAACACGTTTAACACACAGACGAGGACCGGGCTGTCATTATGACACCATAAAAGAGTCAACTGAAAATTATATTTATTTATAAACACATTGCCTATAAAATGCACATATTTAATACAAAGGAAGCAAGCAATTCCATAATCAATATTTTAATTACTGAATTTTGTATCATAGCAGCACAGTTCTCGATGATACTTTATGACTCCATGGCCTTCCAGAGCTCTTCTCCCTTTATCATGGGAGCTAAAGTCCTTCCTTGTTTTCTTCTCTTCCTCCCTTCTTTCTGGGCTGAGCAGGTTGGAGGGTGAGGGTCAGACCGTTTGCTGATGGCGCCACCTGCAGGACTCTATGACAAGGAATTTCCACACCTCTAAAATCTTCCCAAGGGCTTTGGGTTATTTTAGCAATTTAATGAAATTGATTTTGTTTTAACATAGAAGGATGTTAACAACTTCAAGATAAATCCTGGAGTCTAAAAAGTATTTTGATGCTGCCAAACTATGCTTAAGTCTGAGAAATAAGATACAGCATTGATCAGAGTTGTACTGCCAGGGCTTTTGAATATCCCAGTGGCATATAGAAAATAGGACTAAAGGAATAATTTATCCTTGAAGGGATGGAATAAAAGATGAAGTATTCTCTGTTTATCACTTGGTCCTGGGAGCTACCCTGAAGAGGTAAGAAGCAATCAGCATCTGCAATTGTAGTGACCGAGGGCCTTCTCAGAGCCCAGGGTTTCGAGGAGGGGGCTGAGTTGCTGGAGCAGACCAGCTCATTCTCCAAGTCTGCACTTTAACCATTTCTGTAGAGGGTTAAGTGTTCTCTGCAAAACTTCAACAGCCTGTCCCATCATGTTGGTCTAACCGGTTATTTCGGAGATTGGAAATTTGATGATTATATACTTACTGAGATTAGCAAATCCTCCTTATACCTAGGGAGTCAGTGGCTTTGATTTTCTACCAAACCTGCTGAATTGTTGGCTATCAAGTAACCTAAAGTTAAACTGACACAAATTCACTAAAAAATAGACCTAATGCTGCATTTGAAATTTTAACCCTAAAATGTCACACAGTGTCCAGCCCGTGTACTAACTGCCCGGGGACTGTGCCCTGAGTCTGGGGGTCCAGCTGTGAACATTTGCTCCTGTCCTGGGGATAGGTGCACCAGAGAAGCCCACCTCTCTAGGACCAGTGTTGGTGGAGAACCTCACTTAGGTAATTTTGGATCCTTGTGTTAAGATGCAGGTCATAATCAAAGATATTTGATAAAAGTAGGAAGAAAAGCATGCCTTGGCCATTTTTTTTTTCATTTTAGTAGAAGCAGCAGGTAAAGGGGCCATTCACTCTTTTATTACCTTATCAATTTTGAACCAGGTGAATGTACCATTAAAAACTAAATGTGAAATTAAAGAAAACAATTTAGACCTCACAGAATCAATTTATGCTATATATGCAACAAGAAAAATGACGTTCAGTGTGGACTATCTAAGAAAGTAAAAAAAAATTTAGATTTTTTAAAATAAAAAATAAATGCCAGGGTAAATTTTGTTTACTGGAAAGGAAATACAAATGAGAGAATTCTGGTCTTAAAATAGAATATCTTTTTCAATATTCATTTCAGCTAATTTGTCCCCTCTCTATCTCCTTTCTCCCTACTTCTCTTCTTCCTTCCCTTTCTTCTTAGTCTCTTCCTTATGCAAATCCTGTAATTCTAGAACTTTCCAGTAATATAGCATGGAGCATAGCTAGACAGGTCAGTGAAACAACTTTTTTTTGTCAGTTATTTTATTTATTTGGCTATAACAAAGTAAGTTGCTAGCAATAATTAAATTCTGCAAAACTATGAATGAATTGTACCTCATTTGATGACTAAGACAGCCTCAAGTGCACAAGCCATTTTGCCCCATACAGTCATGGTCATAATTCAGAGACAGCATGTAGCGCGTCTGGACAGCCACCAGGACCCAGGAGGACTGCTGTTCAGAGCCTGCTTCCTCCCTGGCCATTCTCTTGCAGCAGTGATGTCATGCTCCTGAAGAGTTGGGGGTGGGATAGAGGACGCCCCTCATCCCAGGAGAGCCAGCTTATGGCTGTTACTGTCACACATGGGTCCATGATGACCAAGGGTGCTGGCTGGAGAGGACAGACCCCATATTTCATAGCAGCCCTAGGACATATTGTCCTGCTCACCTGGTCAAGAGCTCCAGGAGAAGGCAGGCAGCCACCATGCCTGTCTTGCTGCTGAAGAGTTCCCAGACCCAGGCCTTGGGCTCCATTCCCAGCAAAAACTGCTAGGAAGGGTTAGTCTGGGTTAGTCAGATAAATGAACAAAGGTCAAAGGAAAACCAAAACAACAAACCAGAAAATAACAAGAGCTGGTGAGGATGTAGAGAAATCAGAACCCTGGGGCATTGTTGATGGGACTGTGAAATGGGGTAGCAGCCATGGAAAGCAGCATGGAGTTTCCTCAAAAACTAAAACTGGAACTACCATCTGATTCGACATCTCACTTCTGGGTGAATTTCAAAGGAGCTGAATGCAGGGTCTTGAAAAAATATTTGCATGATCATTGTATTAGTCAGTTTTTTTTTGGGGGGGAGGTATAAAAAAACACCTGTGGCTGGATACAGTTCAGCAAGATCACTTGGGGCTGCAGAAGACCTGCCTTATACCATTTCATCTCATGAGTCCCTAAGCTAGTGAGAGCTGCCTTCCAGGTGAGCAAATTGCAGCTGGTTTCACTTCAGTGAAGAAACACAGTTCTGAATCCATCTGTAGGCTGTTAACCATGGGCTATGCAATGTCCAGTGTACTGTATCCCCTTCCAGGACAAAGCAATCTTTCTAGCATCACCTTTTGACTGTAACTGTCACCTGCCCTCTGGTTCCTTATACCTGTCCAGTGAGGTTCAGAAGCCTTGCTCTGGAGGCCCAGGGCCTCCTGATTTGTAACCCCCATCTCTAGCCCTGCTTCCTTCCACCTGCCAAAGGATGGGGACCTTTTCTTCTGGCCGTCCATCCATCATGCCCTGCACTTTCCTGCACCAACGACATCATTCAAGTTCTCCTTTGGGTCCAGTGATGACACCTGGAGGGTCCTGGGAGAGTTATCTACTTGGGTGGGGGGCCTCTGGGGTCTGGAAACAGTGTTTACATATCCCCTTTGAAGGACAGGTCAGTTATCCATTATCAAAGGGTGGGATGGAGATGGGGATGGGTCACCTGGAGGAGCTGGAAGATGACAAGCTGTCTTATCACTCTCTTGGAAGGTCCAGTGTGTCAAAATGTGACCATCGACCCAGGCTCAGCCTGTCTTCTCCTTCATGGTGGCCCACCTCATGGGTGGACCCCTCTTGCCAGGGGGCTTTACTCACCCGTGGTGCACACAGCATCCCATCTTAAGCTATAGCTGCGTCCTGGGGCCTGAACTTGCTTCCAGACAGTGACAGTAGGAGTGTGTGCCCTGGCCTCTGGGGTCTTGCTCTGGCTTTAATTGGAAAGCAAAGGGGCCACTGCTTATCCTCATATGATGACCATAAAGAGTTCTTGCTTTGAAATATAGTGTGTTGGGCTGGGGCTGTAGCTCAGTGGCAGAGTGCCTGCCCAACATGAGGGAAACCCTGGGTTCCATCCTCAGAGCGCGCACGCGCGCGCACACACACACACACACACACACACACAAGTGTATTGATAGAAAACTTTAGGTCAAGTAAGGCAATACATTGAGAGATGAGTAACTATCACTGAGCTGCTTATCACTCATAGTTCCCGAGAGAAGAGGGCTCACCGTGCCACAGGGCCATGCAGGCCAATGAGCATTGGTCAGGAGATGGGGGAGGAACAAGGCTTAGGTCTGGTTAGTGTGAATACTTCAGTGGCTCTCGGGCATAGGAGCTGTCCCTCATTGTCTAGTTCATGGTCCTGGAGTGATCAGGACAGATGGACAGTGGCCCTTAGTGAGAGTCAAATAAAGAAGGTGGCTGTGTGCTCTGGCCTGGTTGGCATGCATGTGAAAAGATGCTCTGTGGCCAGTTGTCTGTTGTCTCTAGGGACTAGCTAGTGGGAAGGGCTGTCCCTCATGTCAGCAAGGCCCCAGATGTCACAGCATAGGAAAAGAGCAAACAGAAGACAAGGTCAACATGTTCCTAGATAATGAGCCCCTCTCTCTTGCTGTGTGGGCTCAGCTGAGCTGGGGCAACATCCGTGGACCTGTGCATTCCAGGCTACTTCCCAGAGGGGTCTGCTGGGGTTGAATGAGGGTGTCAGACAAAGGACACCTATGGGACCAAAAGCCTGACTCAACACCCCTTTAAGGTCCTCCTGGGAAAGTGCTGGATTGCTGTGTGCTTGCTAGCAGTGACAGGCTCCTGGGAGGTGCCCTGTCATGGAAGCAAGAGTGCTCTCAGCAGGTGGGCCTGGCATGTTCTGGGCACAGACCCACTCCCAGTGGCCAGGCTCCAGGAGGGGGTAGGAGGCCTTCCCTATGAGGTGGAGGGTCCACAGGCAATGGGGCAGTGGGCATGCTGCCAGTTCATTAGGGGTCAGGGACAGATCTTACTAAGACATATGCCTTTTAGTTCAGCTTTTGTTGAAAGGTACTTTGCAACAGCAAGTGCAGCAGTAGTCACGCTGTCCTGTGAGCCTCACAAGCGATCCTGAGATGCAGGAAGGATGTTCATTACCAATTCCATGTTGAGGCAAACCCGAGGCTTGGCAGCTTTGTGCTTCCGCTGGTCACATGGGAGTGAGGGGCACGGGAGGCCCATGCAGATGTGCCCCATCCTCAGCAGGTGCTCTTCCTTCCCCACAGGGCCTCCCTTCCCCACAGGGCCTCCCTGAAGGGCCAAGATGAGGACCTGCAGCCTTGGTTGCAAAGCTCTTTCAGTGCAAAACACCCTCTGGCTCCAAAAGTAGGTAATCTTGCAGGGACTTGGGCAAGGGCAGCAGGGGTATGAGGTGAAAGCAGTTTTTTCCAGATAATCTGCGAATGGCACAGCGGCAAAGATGCTGCAGGCAGCGCGGGGTGTGGGCCAAGGCGAAGAAAGACTGGTAGAAAGGCTCGTGCATCTGGAAAGGAAGGCACAGGGAGCGTAAGGGGGCGCACGGAACCCACCCACATTCCTCCCCCACCAGGCCACCATAGAAAGTCGTCCCTCTGTGGCTCCCTGGCTCAGCGCAGGGAGGAGAGCTGTCCTGGGCTGTGCTTCTACAATGTAGTTCCCACCCAGTCAGGGAGGCGTGGTCTTGAGCGACTTGGGCTGTGCACTCCAATCCCCTCCTGCCCTGTCCTCTCTGACAGCAGCCCTGCAGCTCCCAGGGTGGCCTCCTGTCAAACCAGTCCTGACAAGCCTTCCCTTTGGCCAGTGATGGGCTCCAGAGCCCAGGCCAAGCCATCGGTGCATGGTGATCCCTGGCGTTCATTAACATGTACCTGATGCAGCCAGTGAACCGGGAGAGGATTATCTAGGAAGAAACATTCTTCCTCTTTGTGCAATTGACAGTCACCAGTGGACCATGCTGTGTGTGGGTGTGACCCCCTTTGCTGTGCGGGTTGCTCCTTTTTTGGTACTGGGATAGAACCCAGGGGCCTTCTACCACTGCGCTACATCTCCAACCTCTGGCCTTTCTGTTTGGAGGTAGAATCTTGGTAGGTTGCCCAGGCTGGCCTTAAACTTGCAATCCTCCTGCCTCAGCCTCCTGAGTCAATGGGATTGCAGGCGTGTGCCACCACATGTGACGTGAGTTACATCTTGAGCCATCAGAAGAGGAAGCCCACACTCAGGGCCAGACTGGCATGTCCAGAGAAGGAGCCAGGACCTGCACACTCAGGTGGCTTCAAATCCCTTCCCTGATGTTGCTTCCCTAAGCTCCAGCAGCCTCCAAGCCAATGTGGGCTGTTGTGTGCTCCCTGCAGCCACAGCACCCTCACCATCCTCTGCTGCATCTGTGGGGGACAGGTTCCAGGACCCCTGAGGGTACCCAAATCTGCAAGTGCTCAAGTCCCTTCTGTCAAATGACACAGTGTTTGCAGGTAATCTGGGTACATCCTCCCATGGACTCTCAATCACCTCTAGCTGACTTTGGATGCCCCCCAGAGATGTCACACTGTATTGTTCAGGAAGGAAGGGCCAGAAGCCAAACAAAGCCTGCACATGTTCAGTGTAGTTTGTCCCTTAAGATTTTTGATCCCTGAATCCAAAATATGGATGCAGAACCCATGTACAGGGAAGGTGACTGTACAATAACTGGCTCTTGGCTATGTGGTTACTCAGACTCCGGAAGAAAACAGAAACATGTAAATGTGCCCCAGTGGGGTCCCCTCTCCTCATTAGTTCTTTACCTTTCTTTCTTTTTTTCTTTTTTTTTTTTTTTTTTTTTTTTTGGTGCTGGGAATGGTAGCCAGGGCCTGAGGTGCTAGGCAAGTGCTCTACCGCTGAGTCGCACCAACTCAATGGTCCACACTTCCTGGAACCATGAAAACTCCAAACAGATGCGCAGACAGCAAAATCTTGTACCCGAGCGGGCGAAAGAAGCATCTCCTCACCTGATACACTTCGTCAGGAATCATCTCCTTCCAGGACTCGGACACGTGCAGCTGAGCGTAGGAGTTGAAAAGGACCTCGATCACGCCCGGGGCTGGCGCACAGGTCCTCAGCACCTGGTGGGAAGGAGAGAGAGGCACTGTCGGGCGACTGGGTTGGGGTTCACCTGCAGAA